GTATATATATGTGAGAGAGAGAGAGAGAGAGAGAGAGAGAGAGAGAGAGAGAGAGAGAGAGAGACAGGCAAGGCTTGCACTCAACCTAGAGGCCAGAGCACTCTATTCAGTTAACCACGCAGCCTCTGAAGTAGTATATACTTCAGTACATATTAACAACTATTGTTAAGTGTGCTTATCTCTTCTGTTTAAAGAGTAAGCACCTTGAGATCAGGGGCCATGTCTTACACACCTACAACGCCTAACAGTGTTGAAAACACAGTAAGCATCCAAAAATTTTTGTTCATTGAATGATTTCAGAATTTGCCCAAATAAAATATCCTTATTTAACATAAATTGCACAGCAGTATGGTAATATGTATCGCATAATACATAACATTAGGAGCCCACTAACAATGAGAAGACATTTTAATCTGTATTTTTCCCTTTATTAAATCATTGGTTTATTGAGGTAACGCTTAATGTCTAAGCGATATCGGGCAAAATCACACAGTGCCAAGTAAAGTGTCAAATACATTGGTAACATTCAAAAACAGAAAGTGTATTCTGAATTTAGACTCTTCATCAATCAACCAATAAACATTTTTACTGAGTCCAAACTACATACAATGCACTGTTCCTCATTTATTTACCCCTTATCAGACACAGTATTTCTTTCCACAAGCCAAAAGTAGAAAGATAAGAAGGTAGATGGGAAAATGTGTAAAAGGACCATTGGGTAGGAATAGCAGATAGGAATAAAAGGACAACTAACATTTATTGGAAATTTGGAGGATACAAAGTATCACACCTGGCCACTACAGGCCTTATGGAATTAAGTCTGACCTGAATCCTTCATAAATTGAGGAAGAGATGTCAAAAAGGGCAAGGGATTACATAATAAAAAAGTAATAATAAAGAACATAGGAAATACACAGGTTGATTAGTAACTAGGGCTCTCCCTCAAGAAGACCTACAGGGTCCCCATTCTTTAAAAAAAAAAAAAGCCTCTGAAAATGCATTTTTAAAATATTCTAAATCTAATTTCAGAGACAGGAGGGAGGCAATTTTCTCAGGACCTTTGGCTTATTCCTTTTTTCAGTATTTCTTTATATCTCTAGCACTTAGCACAGTGCCTGGTACATAGTAGGCACTCAATAAAGGTTTACTATTTGAAAGGGGGTCAAACCTCTTGCATCTTTCCACTGCCAACTTCAATCAACAAGTATTGATTAAGCACTTGCCTATTCTATGCATATGTGTGTACATCTTTGTGTATATGTTTATATATAGTGATCAGAAAGTCCTAGGTTCAAATCATTCTTCTGATACTAGCTGAGTCACCATTTGCAAGGTGACTTGCAAGTCACCTCACCTCAGTGAACTCCAATTTCCTTACCTGTGACATGAGTTGGACTAGATGGACTCCAAGCTCTCTTCCAGCTAAAAAAAAAATCTATGATCCTCTGTCTATGACTCTAAATTCAATGTTCTTTCCACTATATTACTCTGCACATGATAGAGAGTGAAAGAATGAGTGAGCAAAGAATTTTGAAAACATGATCTCCATACCATAAGGGGGAAAATATATATTGTATACACACACATATACATATACATATATATAGATATATTTCCAGTAGAGAGTACACACTCCCCCATCTGTATTATACATTGGAGCATGTATGTGTGTCTATCTATTTATTGCACTAGGTTTGTCATGGAACCTACCCACAACACCTAGCATAATGTCTGCTATACAGCCCCCCAACCCAGTATATTTCATTTATATATATATATAAATATTTTAGTTACACATATTTCATATGTAAAATACATTTTAAATATTTAATTTATTTATTGTCATAGGAATGTCTTACACATGTTATTTTATGTAAATGTATTTTATATACATGTACACACATATGTGGTGTCGAGTTGTTTCGCTCGTGTCTGACTCTTCCTGACCCCATTTCTTGTTTTCTTGGCAGAAATACTGGATTGGTTTGCCATTTCCGTCTCCAGCTCATTTTACAGATGAGGAAACTGAGGCAAACAGAGTTAAGTGACTTGCTTAGGGTCACCCAGCTACTAAGTGTCTGAGGCCACATTTGAACTCTGGTCTTCCTGAATCCATTGAGCCATCCAGCTGCTTTACGTACATAAATGCAGACACACATATTCATACATCTACGACATATTTGTTATATCATATGCTTACATATACACGCATACAACAGCATATAACACGTTTTATATTACATACTGGAGTGTGTGTAACACACACACACACACACACACACACACAGTAGACAGACAGATGCATACCCACACATACACACACACAGACCACACCCACACACAGCAGACAGATGCATACCCCCTCCCACACACAGCAGACAGATGCATACACACACACACACACACACACACGCGCGCACACACACACACACACACACACCACGCACACACCCATCACGCCAGGCGCCTGACCACAAACCCGGGGCCTGCCCTCCAGGAGCTTACACCCTCGGGCGCTCCACCGCGGCCCCTTCATTCATTCCGGTTTTTCCCTCCCGCCCCGCCCCGCGCGGCCGGGCGGGCCTCGGGACCTCCGGGTCAGGCTGCCTCGCAGGCCCCGCCACACTCACTGTTCTTGAGAAAGCGCTCCTCGTGCAGCACAGCGATGGCGTTGACGCAGAGGAGGGCCGCCTGCAGCAGCGAGTACAAGGTGAAGGCCATGACCCCGGCCCAGCCTCGGCCCCAGCCCCAGCCCCAGCAGCCTCCGCCGCCTCTCCGGCCCCTTCGCTCCGCCTAGGAGACGTGGCACCGCCGCCGACGCCGCGTCAGGGACGGGACCCCGCAGGGCCCAAAACAAGCGCTCCGCGAAGCGCCGGCTTTCCCCCTCCCCCTCCCCCCCGCCCAGGGTCTTCTGGGCCGGGAAGACCGAGGCGTGGAGGGGGCGGGGGGAAATGGGCTGCATGGCCGCGCATTGGGAGTACCCGTCGTCTGGAAATGTAAATATTCAAATATTTCTATTTTAAGTACTTACTAATAGCTTCAGCAAAATTAGTTGCACTTTTTTCTTATTAGTTACACTAGTTTTCAAAATGCTGCCCCTTCCCACCTCAATTCTTTGACTCACTGGCCAGAGTGAGCACAGTGATGTAGTAGACAGAACATTGAATTTTCTTTTTTAGCCGGAAGAGACTTTAGAGGCCTTCTAGTCAAACCCGGTCATGTCACAGATAAGGAAATTGCAGGGAGTGAGTGACTCAGCGAGTATGTATCAGAAGGGTGATTTGAACCCAGGACTTTCTGATCACTGTATCTATTATGCCGTGCTGCCTTTCCTCTGCTAGGAAACCTAAGCCAGCAGTGCCCAGCACTTGTTCTCGGTGACCTTCGGTAAGACGTTGAATTTTTTTGAGTCTTGATAAAAAAAAAAGTTTCCTTATCTGTAAAATAGGTATAATATACTTGCCTTAGCTACTTAAGGACAGTGTGGAAGAGCGGCTAGAAAGCCTGCCAGGAAGATCTGGATTCAAGTTCAGACTCAACATGTGTTGGCAGGGTAACCATCTTTCTGCTTTTGGCTATAAAGCAACAGAAAAGGTGTGGAGCTGTGTTGATAGAGGGAACTGCTCACACGGAGCCCCCTAAACTTGAAATAACAAGTGCAGTTTCTTTCCCTCATCCTTTCTACTTCATACAATGGGTGTGCAGAAAGCATTTGTTAAACTTAAAGTCAGTAACCATGGATTTTTACTGAGCTAGTCCCTACCCCATGAATGCACAGAGCCGCACAAAGCAGACCTAGAGCCTGGAGTGCCCATAATCAAATATCTAATTAATCAATTTCAGAGTGAGGAATGTTCTGTTAGCTGGAGTAAAAGCACAGGTTATATACTTAAGTCACAAGTGGGGAAGGAGGAGGAAGGTGGATTACAAACAATCATTTAGAGGTTTCACAGGAGAAACCTGCAAGTCCCACAGTACAACAATTCTGGAGTCAAGTCTTTGGGGGTTGTGACCACCTCCCCTGAAGTACAGAACCAGAGTTCTGTGATGGGAACAGGTTCTACAATCTTTGATTCACTTCAGTTAAGGTCGAGGGATTGTGAGCTTTGTCAGAGTTTTGATTAATCAGTTTAAACTGCTTTGTGAGCTCTGACTCCCAAGACAGAGTCGGCTCTTGAGAAAACTAAATTATTAGTATATTCATTACACATGTCATGTAGATTAACATGAAAATTACAAATTCCCTTCTCAATTGGTAGGGTACTAGTAGATCAAAATCCCTCCATCTAGCTGGTTTTCCATCTAGAGAGATGGTTTTCCAGAGTTATACTTTCAGAATTAAAGTAGAAATTTTCTTTCATGATCTATAAGATTGAGTAGCAACATGATGCAATGGAAAGAGTTCTGAATCTGGAGTCAGAGGACTTGGGTTTGAATCCTGGCTGCCTTACTTACCTAGTGACTTGGAATAAATTATCTCCTACCTTCCCCATCTGGATCTTGATTTCCTCATCCTGAAAGTGAAGGGGTGGGGTCCCTTCTAGTTCTATATGTACCCATATGCAAGATGAGAGTATGTGACTAGGTAACCTGGAAGAAGCTTTGCTTTATCATCGCCAATTACCAGGAATTCATCCAACTTGGACAGATGGAAAACTGACCAACTGATTGGGGTCCTTTTGATGCTTTTAATTGCCTTTGCCTTACCCCTTTACATTTTTGATTGCCTGATTTGTACTTAAAGCCAGGCATTATGGATGATACAGATGTGAACAAGAGAAAATATAGTTGTTTGTGTTTGGTTTCCCTCATTATACTGTTAGCTCCTTTGGTCATGTGCTGTCTTTTGTCTTTCTGTATCTCCAGCACTTACCACAGTGCCTGGCATATAATAGGTACTTAATAAATGTTTACTGACTGACTGACCTTTCCTCCCCAGCTAACCATCCTTTGTAACAAATATTTTAAAAGAAAAGAAAAAAAGCAGTTAAGCAAAAACCAACAAATATATTGACTATATTTCCCAGTAAATGCAATATTCCACTCAAAGTCCCCCGTCTCTGTAAAGACGAGAGGAAGACCCTGAAATTTTGGGACAGCGCATTCAAAGAAAGGAGATATCAGATCCTGTGGCTTAAAATTGAACAGTACTCAACTCAGGAGGGATCAGAAGACCTCACTAGTAAAATTCTAAAGATTTAAAGAAAAATGATTCCAATGGGAAGAAAAAAGGGGAAACTTTAAAGAGATTGATGTGGATACAGAGGGAACTCACTGACCAACTTAGATTTTTAGAAGATGTATAGATGATGGAATCAAGAAGAGTCTCGTTTCCTGGATGGTGACTTATGTCTCATCCACTAAACCTGAATGTGCTCTAGGACTCTGCCCTGTGCCCTCTTTTCCTTTGTTTCTCCTGCCCCCCTCTTGATGGTCTCATCAGCTCTCAGGGTTTCAATTATCATCCCTTTACAGAGGACTCCCAGATCTATTGATATCCCATAGGCTTTTCAATCTCAACATATCCAAAATCAGGACTCTTTTTTCTGCCCCTTGAGCTCAGCCCTTTTCCAAATCTTTCTATTTCTGTTGAGAATACCACTATCTTTCTAGTTACATAAGTTCACAAGTTTAGCATCTTCCTCAGCTCTTTCTCTTTCCTTCCCTCTCATATCCCCAATCAATTGCCAACTTTTGTCTGTTCTTCCTTCATATCGTATCTCACATCTTTTTTTTCCTTCTCTCCACTCTAATACAAACCTTTATCATTTTACACATGGACTTGATTTAATTTGATTCCTGGTTTCCAGTCTCCCTCATCTCCCTTCACTGAAATAATCTTCTTAAAGCAGAAGTTTGATCATGTCACTACCCTTCTCAACAACAGTCTTCACATGTCACTCCCCTACTCAATAAGAATTGTCACTATTCTCTGTTGTTTCTAGAATAAAATGGAAAGCTTGTCATTTAAAACCCTTCACAATTTGGCTCTTGTACAGTTTTAAGTCAATCAGTGAACATGTATTTATTAAGCCCCTACTATGTGCTAGGCACAGTGCTTGGCACTGGGGGTATAAGTACAAATAATGAGACAATCACTACTCCCAGTGAGCTTGCATTCTAATATGGGAGAGGGCAAGTACATATATATATATATATATATACACACATATATATGTGTATATATATATATATGTGTGTGTGTGTGTATCTATATTGGAGGGAAGGCATCACAATTGGGGGGTAGGAGGGCAGGAATCAGAAAAGGCTTCATGCAGAAGATGGTACTTTAGCTACATTTTGAAGAAAGATGGAGATAAGATGATGTGTTCCAGGTCATCCATATACTCTTCACTGGAGTCCACTTGGTCCACTTTCTCAGACCGGTTCACTCCCTATCTTGCCTCAGTGTTTCTCCCCTATTCCTGGAGTGAATGAACTTCCTTTTTTTCTGCTTCAATGAATCATCCCTCTGCTTATGTGCCACCCCATAGAGGAAGCCTTTCTTGATCCTGCTAGATATTAGAGGATATCCATCCATTCAATCAAAATGGGAAAAATTGCATCTTTATTTTCACTATCATATAACTGAAGTTTAACATTTCCTTCAATTATGAATGTAGGCAACAATAGGTCCATAGGCTTCACCATGCTGCCAAAGGGGCCTATTACACAAAACCCCCCTGCTTTTGTTGTTGGTTGTCTGTCCCTCCTCAAATGATCATTTATATGTTTTTCTGTTCACATATATCCCTCCAGTAGACTATAAGCTCTTTGAGGGTAGAGATTGTTTTGTATTTGGTGAAGTGAATACAAAAGCTAACCTCAGAGTCAGGAAGACCTGGTTTCAATTCCCTCCTCCAGTATATACTAGGTAATTACAATCTTGCAGTACCCTCAGGTAACTCTTTTAGACTATAAATTTTGGAACAGTTGCTGATCTGTATTGGTACAGGGTTTGTTTACGCTGGAGGTTCCCTAAAGTCATGAAATCACAGATCTGGTCACTTAGCAACACCCTTTCCTCCTTCCCCTCCAAAAGAAATTTACCCATGGCCTAGCTTTGAAATTAGTAAGCACTTAATAAATTCTAGGATTGTATTGGATTACAGTTTCCAGAGGAGGGTGACTGGGGTCATGAAGTGTCTTGACGTTATGCCTGTGGTGAGAGAAACATGAAATGACTGAGGAAACAAAGGTTCCAGCTTCTGAGCATTTTGATTTATTAAGCAATGCGTGCCAGTTACCTAATAAATGAGGACCAGACCCCTTCCTTAGCTTGGGGCTGGACTCTGAATACAGGGAGAGACAGACTTATACATTAACAACAATCAAATAAGGCCAATTAATTAAAGGAAAACAATACAACATTAGGTAATCTGATTTCTAGTTAGAGGAAAGATTAGGAATTTTCCAAGTTGGGAGGGAGCAAGTGAACAGGTAGAATTCCCCCAATACAGAAAAAGAGGTGTCCCACTCCCCTAAAGGGTGTCTGAACAATCAAAAGAACATGGAAACAATAACTATTTGATCAGTATGGGGCTGGTTTTTAGATAAGGCAGATGGGTTGCTTGAAATGTTTAATTATGAGAATACTCCTTTTATCAATCTTAGGATCTGACTGAGTTTTTGGTCAGCATAACTAGGTCTTTTGTTGTTCATCCTTCATTTTTGAAGAGGACCAATAACACTGGGGGTGATGTCTTGATTTGCTTGTGAATTGGATTTGAGGCAGAGTTGCACAAAGTTGTCAGCCTCCCTCCCTCCCTCC